AAGTCTTTACCGGCACAAAGCAGTGTGTGCTTTCAGGAAACATAAAATAATTATAAAACTTCACCTTTATACTCAAAGTGCCTTATCTTACTGGAGGCAACTGCGGAGCAGTGAAGAGAGCTTGAGTTCCAGTCTCAGCTCCGACTTTCTCCTTGGCAAGGACTTGGGCACTTACGTTATGCCTCTCAGTTCAGTTGCCTCACTTGCCCTATGCATCTGTTCGTTGGGCTGTTCCCTAGTTGTGTCCTTTATAATAAACTGGTAATAGTTTTTTCAGTGATCAAATAAGCAAGTACCTGTGAAGCAAAAGGCGTAAGTTCTTAACCCAAGTCTCCTGCCTGCTTCACAGGTCAAAATAATGTTGAAGTACTTTGTCAATTGTGTAAATGTGAATTACTAAAATTTTCAAACATGAAGAATCCGGGGTGCAGATCCAATGTTTGCAGGCATTTATTTTTAAGATCGCACCGTTTCTACTTTTTATGTCATTCACAAACTTCCTAAAGTATTCCCACTGTTCAAAATGGTCTAGAGAAAATGTAAGGCTTTCCTCCACCCCCAGCACCCAGTCTCCTCCCCAAAGACAAGCACAGCTCCTGGTTTTAGTGTGTCCTTGCGGGGGTGCTCTGTGTATTTCTATGGACAAGTGTGTGTGTATTAATTACTCATATGGAAACATTCTCTGCACACCTTTCTGCCGTGTGCTCTTTCCTTATTTTTATATGATTATCTAATACCAATGCACATAGACCTACCTTATTTTTTAATGTCTCTGTAGCATACCAAGGTATGAACGTCACCATATCGATAATTCAAAGTATGAGTATTGCTAATTTATTAACTGGTTATGACATAATAAGAAATAGATGGTCTCCTAAAATCCTAGTAATTTCCTGAGCGAGAGGAACATCTTTGGTTTTACTATTTGGTCCAAGTGCCCAGTTCCTGACACAAAGTTTTTAAAACCCTTGGAATCACCAGCTCGATAAGAGTGTGTTTTTGTTTGTTAATGAGGAAACTCTTGGAAGATGAGGGCTGTTTGGCAGAGGAACTGACCATGTGATTAGAGTGTTGGAACTTTCAGCCACACACCCCTGACCTCCAGGGTGCTTGCTGAAGGGAGAGGGCCTGGGAACTGAGTTAATCACCAATGGCCAATGATTTCATTCAACAATGCCTGTGTAATGGAACCTCCCACTCCCACCACATCAAGGTCGTGGGAGAGAGATGCACCCAGAGAGTGCATGGAGGTGCCACACCCCTTCTTACATACCTTGCCCTATGTGTCTCTTCCCTTGGGCTGTTCCTGAATTGTATTCTTTATAGGAAACTGGTAATAGTAAGTAAAGTGGTTTCCTGAGTTCTGTGAGCTGTTTTAGCAAATTATTAAACCTAAGGTGGGGGTCTTGGGAACCCCTGATGTGTAGCCAGTTGGTCAGAAGTTTGAGAGGCCAGGACTTGTGATTGGCATCTAAAATGGCCTGCATTCTGCTGAGACAGAGCCCTTACCCTGTGGGGTCTGTGCTGACTCCAGGTAGCTAGTGTCAAAGAGTTTTCCTTTACCAGTGAACACACAGGTTGTCTCCAGCCTTTTGCTACTACAACTGACTATATCTTGCTTCAGTGGCAGCACTTACACTGTATCTCTGCATCTATGTGCCCTTATTGCTAGTACGATAAGTTCCTAAAAGTGGAATTCTGGGTCAAGAGGTATGTGCTATTTAAATAATTCTCTGGATTTCATCATATTGCCTCCAAGCAGGTTACACCCATTTACAATCCCCACAGTAATGTTTGAGTATAACTTCTGTATAATCCTGACCACACAATGTTATCAAAACTCATCATCTTTACTAGTCTGATAGCAGCCAAGTCATTCAGCTTCCCTGGCCTGGTTTCACTGGGCTGTGAGAATTGTGTATGAATCTAGGACCTAACGGGTATTACCAATGGAAATGGTGGCTGTTGCTGTTTTGGAGTGATTTTTCTGATTGGGGTACAAATACAGGAACCTGATGAGAAGAGCAACCTGCCAGCCTCTCTCTCAACCTACCTCTGTCCGTCTTGTTTGGGTTTGGCCAACATCTGCGTGACTTTCCAAGGCCATTAAACAGCAAGATCGTGGGGGAGCTCCCTCGGAGAGGAGCTGAGCTTTGGTCTCTGAGTATTGACTTTTGTCATGATTTTGGAAAATAGATCCTTCTTAAATAATACATTTTTTAAAGCAGCAAAGCACTACCTCTGTAATTTATTTGTAAGGAAAGGAGTCAGGAACCATTCTGAGTACAAGTTCTCACTTACCGTCATTGATAGGTTCTTGGAAACTGAGACTTTAAGGAAAACAATGTTATGATGAAACCAGTTTTACCCTAGGCTAATTGATATAAGTAAGAGTTGGGGTCCTGCAGCATACTTCTGACAAAAACACCCCAACACTTCTAAATACTGAGAAGCAAGGCCAACTTCTAAACTAAACTTTTCTTTAAACTTTGCCCATCAGATTACATGTTCTAATCAGGAGAACTTAAAAAGATTTAAAAAAATACATCTATTTTTTATTAATTCAGTGAATACCTGTGAAAAGTTTAAATTACATAAATGTATCACTTGTAAAATAAAATTCTGTTGCCATCCAGTCTCTAAGGAGCAATTCCTGTTAACGGTTTAGCATATATTACTCCAACACTTTTCTGCATAGTAGTACATATTTACACAAATGTAAGTAAGATCATATTATTCTGTTTTATAAATTTATTTTTTAACTTAGTAACATATCATAGACACCTTTCCTCGTTCTTACAAAGCTCCTCCTGTCCACAGCTGCCTGGCATCCATTGTATAAGTAGAATCTGACTCATTGAACCGGCCTCCTTGAGTAGAACTCTTGAGCCAGGTTTGAATGTTGGTCTGGTCACTGAGTTTCTCTGGACTTGTTCTGGGGTGATTTTAGCATGAGGTGCAGCGGTGGTTGCTCAACAGTCAGCTTGCCTTTAAACTCTTGGAACTGTTACTTTTCCGCCTTTGCTGTGGATCATTTATTTCTATATGTGGTAGATTGACAGGAGGAGAAACATCTTGCCCCTGAAACCTAGTTAAATACCTGGTTACTTTGTTTGATTAGGAGGAGATTTTTCTGGCCAAGAGGAAATACAGAAACCTAAGCTAACTAGTTGGTCAGTTTACAGCTGTATGTGTTAAGCGAAAAATAAAAGGCCAAAGTGAGAGGCAACAAGCATTTATGTGAGATAAAAAGAAAAAAAGAATAGCTATGTGAATATTGTTTTAAGAAAAAAGAAAAAAAAGAATAGCTACTTGGGAAGCACTGATTTAGGCAGAAATCCAAATAGTGTTCTGATTAGGAGACAAAGGCAAGGGGTGAGAGAAAGGGAAAGGGAACAATTGTATCAATAGAAGGAAGGCATTTCTTCTGGTGCAGATAAGCTAACAGTGATGTTAAGTCTGAAGAATGTTTTCCATTTTCTGTCCGGCGGTCGTCGTTTCCGTGGAGTAGTCACAGTGTCCGCTTTTTTGTGATCTTTGCAAACAGCTCTTTGGGGGCACAGTGTTGCTTTAGGCCCAATCCAAAGGTTATTTTGCCCTGTTTTAATTTCCCAGAGGTTTGAGGCCCCAGTTCCTCGGCATGGTAGCTCAGGCTCCATTTTAAAGTGGATGCATTTATATTCTTTCTTTTTTTAAAAATCAACATCTGAGAAGTGGGCTTTTGTTACTTTTATTTGCTCTTCAGTTTTGCTGTTTCTTGGGTCAAATGAAGGTCCCTAAGGCTGGTAAAGGGCCTGCAGTCTCCCTGGATCAACATGGTTAACGTAGGATGTATGTGAAATACACGTCAGTGATGATGCAGATTGTCACCTAGTCTAAATATGGTTCTCCAGATCCCACAGTAATCACTCTTCCAACTGCTCATATTTGAGGTCAAAGAAATCAGAAAATATGGTAGATAAATGATAGCCACCAAGCCGAGTGGGAAAAACACCGGTTTTGCCCCAGACAGAACTGCCTTCAAATCCCACCTTTGCCATTTCCTAGCTATGTGGGCATGTTGCTGACTCACATGTAAAAAATAAAAGAGCTAAGGATTGTAAAGCACATAATAAGTATATAATATAGTAACAAATACGTGTTTGTTCGCTGTTGGATGTGCTTCATTTTTAAAATTTATTTATCTGAGCCCGGCCGGGCGTACGTAGCTCAGCAGTTGAGCGTCGACCTGGGATCCAGGCGATCGGGGTTCGATTCCCGGTCAGGGCACATGCCCGGGTTACGGGTTTGATCAGTGACTCTCTCATCATTGGTGTTTCTGTCTCTCTCTCTCCCTCTTCTTTCCTCTCTCTGAAATCAATAAAGATATATTAAAAAAATAAAAAATAAAATAAAATTTATTTATTTGAGAGAGAGAGAAAGAGAGATTGATTGATTGATTGATTTTGTTGGTCCACTTGTCTATGCATTCATTGGTTGATTCTTATATGTGCCCTGACTGGGGATCGAACCTCTAACCTGGCTAAAGGGACGACACTCTAACCAGCTGAGAGCTACCTGGCTAGGGCCAGATGGGCCTAATTTTTTAAACCACTGAAGCAGCAACAGTTCTGTCCGGAATGGCTCATCCTCTCTCTTGCTTCTATAAATATTTGGTCATTCACTTCCTCATTCACTCAGCAAACATCTATTGATCAATAACTATGTCAGGCATTGTGCTGGGTCCAGGGGGCAGAGAGATGAAGAAAACACGTAATTCCTGCCCTCCACGGGCTGTCCTGGAGCTTGACCTCTCTTTTCTTCCTGAGAAAGACAGACAGAAAGCAAATGTGGCAAACTGTTAATCACTGGTGAATCTAGAAGGTATATAGATATGAATTGTACTTGTCTTTCAACCTTTCTGTAAGTTTAACGTTTTTAAAAATACAGAGTTGGGGAGAAAATACCTTTCTGTTACTTGGCAACTGTACCACTTGAGGCCACTGCTCCCATTTGTCAGCATGGAAATTTTAGATGATCCCCATCAGCTTGGCCAGGCCTTAGGAGAGCAGCACAAATGGGATGTGCTGGGGATGGGAGAAGACAAAGAGAAAGGCCTGGAACAGCAACAGGTGTGGTTACCTGAAGCCACACAGCAGGGGCCCCTGGGCAAGGGAGCATCCAGAGAGTGAGAGGGCTAAACAGGGGGCTGAGGTGGAAACCAAGGGACGGGCTCTGGGCTTGAATCCTGCCCTGGTCACTATCTGGTTTCCAGCCAGCCCTGGCCACTCCTCTCAGTGTGGGGGCATTTGTCACGTTCTCTGCCGTCCACCTCCAACCACTGACCTTTGATTTGAACATAGAAGTTAAATATGTGAGCTTTGGAGTCAGCAGCCCTTGTGTGAATCTCAGCCTTGCAGGGCGAACTTGGTCAAACTAGTCCTGTGGAGCCTGAGGATTCTTAGAGGTAAATTCTTGATGGAATCTCATTAGCTTGTGTGACGCTAACGAGAGGATTTGTGTAAAGCAGTTAGCATAGGGCCTGTGCCTGGTACCTACTTACTATGGTATAACAACATACATGTAACCTTAGTCAGTGGCACTGCTATCAATCGACCCATTTCATGCAGAAATCGCTGCCTGACTGCTCTTCCTGTTTCCATTCTGGTCCCCTCACTCCCAGAATGTTTTCCACAGCAAACATTCTTAAGCTTCATGGAGAATGTCACCCTCCTGCTTAATTCTCCTATGGCCTCCGATCGCCCTTGAGTAAAAAACTTCATGCCTGACCTTGACCTCATGACCTGGGTCCTGCCCAGCTCTCCAACCTTGTCTCCTAAGCTCTGCCCATGGCTCACTGGATTCTAGCACATTGGCCTTCTGTCTGTCCCTCAAACACAGCAATGTTCGCTCTCACCTCATGGTCATTGTAGTTGTCCCTTCTGCCTGAAATGCGCTTCCCCCGTGTCTTCATCTGGCTGCCTCTTCTTCCTCCCTGTCTTTAGGTCTCATTTCAAACGTCCTTTGCTCGGCGAGAACTTCTGTGACCATTCTATCTAGTGGTGTGTGTGCCATCGCCACTGGTCACCAGTGCCCTGTTTTATAATCTTTAAAGCACTTGTCATTACTAAGACAATCTTGTTGGTTCAGTTAGCCCTTACAGAACAAAGCCCCAGGGAAGAGTAAATAATAACTATGTCTTATTTACCATGTGTCAGCTCAGGCTTCCCGAACAAAATACCACATATTTGGGGGTGGGGCTTAAGCAACAGAAATTTATTTTCTCACAGCTCTGGAGGCTGGAAAGTCCAAGATCAAGGTGCTGGCAGGGTTTGGTTTCTGATGAGGGCTCTCGGCTTACAGGCAGCCGCCTTCCTGCTGTTTTCACGTGGTCTTTCCCCCATATGTGCCCCTAAGGGGAGAGAGCACGAGCTCTCTGGTTCTCCTCATATAAAGACCTAATCCTATTGCGTCAGGGCTATGCCCTTATGACCTAATTTAACTTTAATTACTTCCTTCGAGGACCCAACTCCAAATACAACCATACTGGGGGTGAATGTTTCAATATAGAAATTGGTGATGGGGGGGGGGGCGGCGTGGTCTGAACATTCAGTCCATAACATTCACCAGTGTAGCATTACCAGAGCCTAGGAGAGAGCCTGGCGTGTAATAGGCACTCACTAAATATTTGCTAAATAAATCAGTGACTCTAGAAGTTCACGCCACTGTAAGTCCGTATAAGTTGCCCCACATCTAGCACTCCATCCTACAGGTCAGGGCGTGTCCCTGCACATTCCCCAGTCCGCCATCAATGCCACGGTGGAACAGGACATCCTGCTCTCAGTGGAATATTCCTGCCATGGCGTCCCCACCATCGAATGGAAGTATACATCCAACTGGGGGGTGCAGAAGATCGTGGAGTGGAAGCCAGGGACTCAGGCCAACATCTCCCAAAGCCACAAGGACAGAGTCTGCACCTTTGACAATGGCTCCATCCAGCTCTTCAGTGTGGGCATCAGGGATTCCGGCTACTATGTCATCACGGTGACCGAGCACCTGGGGTCCAGTCAGTTTGGCACCATCGTGCTACATGTGTCGGGTAAGAGAGTTCCAGGGACCCTGGTGCCCCTCTGACTGCAGTTGGGGGGAGGGCGGCGATGTCGTGACATTAAAAGAGACTTCGGTTTCCTTTCCCTGTCCCCCACCCCTAGAGATCCTCTATGAAGACCTCCACTTCGTTGCTGTCTTCCTTGCTTTTCTCGCTGCTGTGGCCTCCGTGTTAATTAGCCTCATGTGGGTTTGTAATAAGTGTGCATATAAATTCCAGAGGAAGAGAAGACACAAGCTCAAAGGTAATTCTCCGGGCCTTGTGCTAATCAGATCATGCTTTCATGGTCGGAGGTGGCCCACGTTAGCTTGTTCTCAACATAAAACCGCCTTATGGTTGATTTGCAACTGATTGACTTGTCTTTTGCTTTGCAGAGAGCACAACTGAGGAGATTGAGCTACAAAATGTTGAGTGTTAGCCAAGGCTGAGCCCAATTACATTCCTACCTCAAGAGGAAAACATTGTTTTCCAGTGAAAGGAGCAAACGTACCAGTCCACCCTAAGAGCTTCCTGTCATCCTGCCGCAGCCTCCCATTCCTGATGGGACTGCCGGATGTGGACAGAGTGGACGGCATGGAGCTGAGGACTCTGGATTGGACACAGCCAGGTCTCGTAGGCGCACAGGGGTCAAGGAGAAGAGTGCTTTGTGTGGCGGTGCCGTCAGAGCCACGCTAACCCGTGTGCAGTGGCGTAGGGCAGGCACTGGCTGCTCGCTCACCGCGCTCTGCTCGGGCCCAGGCCTGGCCACCGGAGGCGTCCCCGTGTCAGGGCCGGAGTGCTCGAGGCTGGGTGTGCAGCCGGCGCTGGAACAGGTGTCTGTGCTCCTGTCTGCTCTGCTCGCGCCCTCCAGCCCGCTGCTCGGGGACCTGTTGTGCGAAAACGGGAGGCTTTGAGACAACCTGCCGCCTCAGACAGCGGTAGGATGAGACTGAAGGGTGCTGCTGTGCTTTGGGGAGTTGCTCAGAGCAGGGCAAGGACCCCCATGGCCTGGAACTTTAGGGGAAAGAGCTGACTTTGTTCTCGAGGGACCAGCATTGGAAAGAAGAAAGAGGGAGAACATTACCTTTCTCTTCCTGTCTCAGTACAACATTAACTGAATTTTCTCTCCTGGGGCCCCAACTTAGGCGGGTGCGAGGAGCACAGTTCTTCGCTGTGGGCAGCCCCTGGCATCCAGAGGGCCTCCCGACACGCTGTGTGAAAGCTGGGCCCCGCATACAGGTGGCACAACTGGCAGCTCAGCCTTCGAACCTGCCCCCGTGAGTCACCAACGCTTCATGTCTCAAGTCAGGCCCTCACTGTCTCCCAACTGGGCAAAGGAGCACTTGGCACTCACCTACCCCGCCGTCAGGTTATCAAGTGGAGCCCACAGCGTACACGGAGCTCTCCAAGTGACTTAAGATAAACGTGAGGATCCTTCAGCGATCTGAAAGCAGTCGGCGCTGTCCTGAGTACCGGAAGTTGATAAAACGCCCGGGGTAGTGGGCCCTAGTGAAGTTGGGGGCTGGGTCACAGCGGGCTTGGCCCTTGCTCCGTCCGGTGTTGGTTAGCATGTTTACAAGGAACTTTCTCTAGTCCAGCTTCCACTGGGCAAGCTCTAAGGCAGGCCTGCATTTATTTTCCCTTATCCGTCCTCTCTCCAGTGTTCTTAGCTGCTGACCGAAGGTACCGCCCCGATGCTTGATGGAGGCTGAGGTTATGAGCCGTGTCCCCAGCCCTCAGCTGCAAACTGACCCATGCAAAGGAGGAGAGCAAGAACGTCCCCCTCTCTCCTCCTCACGTCCCCAACATCCACGCCTTTCCTACTCCCCGTGTGGCAGCATAAGGAGTTGTATGCCGTCTTTCCGTGCGTAAGGAATCCAGCGTCGCAGGAAGAGACCTTTGGGGTGTTCAGACAGGAGCTATCAGTGATCTAGAGCAGGGCTCCGGAGGCACTGCCTGACCCAAAAGGCGAGGGAGTAACTGGCCTGCACTGATGTGTAGCTCTAGCTCCTGACAGGAGTCCCCACTCGGGCCACCTCCCGGACACACGTGTGAACATGCACGCCTGTGCCCTTTCCCCGGGCAGGAGAGGGGCCTAGGACCACCTGCCCGGGCCTTTCTGCTTTCACACCCCAAGCCCCTCAGCCGGAAACCGGTTTGGATCTGCAGCTGCTGGAGGCTGTGCCCACTTTTACCTCCTGCTCTCGGGACTCTACCTCTCAGCCTGCCAGAGTCGGGGTGAAGACGTAACGGAAGGGGAAACGGAGGAGACCCAGTGAGAGGCCTCCATGGGCAAACCCAGGTGTGCTTTACATTGCACCCCAAATATGTCATGCAAGGTTTACCCTCAGCTTTCCGTTTCTTTATTTTGCACTTTTAAAGCTCACCTCCGTCCTGAACATTCCTGTGGAAAGGTTTTGATTCTGGAGCCTGAGGTTTGTTTTCTATTTTCAAAAAAGGAAAATATAGAGGTTAGCTACTGTACCTGTTAAGCTATAAGTTATTATGTTTCAAACTGTGAAAATTGTTTTAAGGAATGAAATAAAACCTGACAATAAAGCTCCGGTCCTTTGTATATGAGCCTGCTGCTGCGGAGCTAGAGAACTCCGAGGCCCTGGGGCCAGGGTCCCATCAGCTGTGGGCACAAGCAAAACCCTCAGCCAAGCTCCTGGGCTGGCACATCTCAAAAATCACAATAGAATGGGTAGCATTGGTTCTAAGAATAAATGTGCTTTAGCAATTCAAACAACACTCTTATCATCACCATCATTCTCCCCTCTGTGGTAACCAGAAGACAGATTTGAAGTTTTTGCTTCCAGAATATTAATTGTAACTCAATAGAGTCCTTTCTGCTTCTGGAAAGGACTGAAATGGATGTTCAACAGGCTTTATTAAGCAGTTCATGTAGTAACTAGAAGGGTGCTCAGAAGGGTTGTACAAAATGGGAGGTTTTTACAGGCAAAAAGGGAGTGGGGCAAGAAAGTGAAGAGTGGGTTGTTTCGGGCAAGGCTCCCTTTCCTAGGGGAGGGCAGGGGTTTTATCAGGCAGATTGCCCCACTGGTGATGACCAGGAAATTCCAGACTGATTATTCAAAAGTCCGCTCCCAGGAGAGGCCGAAATTGCAGTTAGGTTAGGTATGAAGTCTTGGTGGGCTTAGGAAAAGTGACCCCATTTGGGGTCTGTTCTGTCTTTTTAATAGTATACAGTTGATTCTTGAATAACATGGGTTTAAAATCTGCGTGTAAGTTCAAACTCGTGATGTTCAAGGGTCCACTATATTTTCGATCCGCGGTTGGGAATCCACGTGTTTGGAGGGCTGACTGTAGTTATACTCGAATTTTCCACCGAGGGGCAGGTCGGCACCCCTAAGCCCTGCACTGCTCGGGGGTCAACTGTATTGTTATTTCTCACTTCATGGTGTCCTGGGTGTGCAAGGAGAGCGGAAACAGGAAAGCTCTGTCCTTTGAAGCCCACGTGAGATGGTTACTCCCCGACAGTACATCACGCTTGCTCTGACTTGAAATCATGCCACACAGAGGTGCGGGGCAAGGCGGCGAGAGAGAAATTTTCAGGGTGCCTTGGTCAGTGCGGGAACGCAGAGCCAAGCCCCAAGTACGGGTGCAACTCAGAAGGGTTGGGTAACTGCAACCTTGGTGACCCCAGAAGTGGCAGAACAGGACGCTAGGACATGTGACCAGACCAAGGAACCACATATGATGGGGTGAAACCCTGGGGCTGTGACTCAAATGCAGTCCCTCTCCTTGACAGCGCTTTGGTAACCCTCTTTTTGTCATTAGCTTTTATGTATCCAGCATAGTTTCCTTCTGCCCAGTTTCCAGGGAAACATCAGACACATCTCTAGTTTATTGAAAACAGAGCAAATCCCTGTGGCTATTGTTAGCGTGTTTAGCCACAACTCAGCTTCTACTAAGGCCTGGTGTGAGTTGCCAGGGTGTGCACCTCTCTGCACACCCAAGCCCGTCCCCGCTGTCAGCTTCTCCAGTCCCTGAAAACAAGGTTGCTGAGTTCACCATTTCCACTGCCTTTTAAAAAGTAGGTGTGTGTTTCTGGTTTGGTTTAATCACAAAGGTGATGAAATCTTTAAAATGATATTGAAGTCTATATATAAAGCAAAAAGTAAAAGTTCTCCCTCCTTCAATCTTACCCAGAGGAAGCAATAAATCTGGTATGTATCCTCCTCAACTTGCTTATGCACATATGAACATACCAGTCTATATACGCATGCACCACAATATACATATTTAATCTGCTTTCTTGCTGGGCAAATGGGATTCTATTATACATATTACCTACAGCTTCCTTGTTTTCCCTTAATGTCCTTGGGCGTTACTTTGCGCCTCTACCTGTTCCTAAGCGTCCTTCTTACTGCCTGCATGATTCAACCCATAGCGTGGATACATTATAATAGTTGGTTCACTTTTTATTTCAAATGATACATACAAAAATAAATATCTTGGGCAGTTTGTTACATCAGACTAGTTGCTTCAACCAAGGTGGCTATCTCCTATGAATCCCTTCCTCTTTCAGGGAATTCAATGTTTTATACTATTAGTGGGTTATATGTAAAGTTTATCAGAGATTGAATGTCAGGGGGAGGGAGAAAGAACATTGCTGACGTGGAATAAGTCTAAAGTTTTAGCTCTGGATTTGATCTCATAAAGTACACACACAGGTAGGTTAAATTCCTTTGCTGCAGCCGACCAGTGGTTGTTCAGGCCATTCTGTTTCTAAAAATGCTAGTATTGTTCCATTGTTCCCTCGGGTACCTCATGGTTGAAAAGTGCACTAAGCAAAGTGCACTTATTAAATAATTCGGTTTTGTTTTCACTCATCAACAATACATAAGTGCCAGAATTTCTGGTCAACGTGAGATAATCACTTTGATCAGATGGGGTTCTGGCAAATAAATCTGATGGTGAGATTTTAGAGGGTAAACATATGTTTTCTATGAGGCTTTTCAAAGACCAGACACAGATCGCAGATGTCTGTTACTGCCTCTTTGGTCCCAACGGGCCTAGATTGGGAGCCCTTGTAAAGAAAGTTAAAGAGAAGCCACGAATAGATTTGGGTGACGGGAGGCTCTGCGACTGGCCTCATCTCCTTGGTGTACTCACTAAATTATCAGGAAGTTTTTCAAGTTGTATGTTACTTTTATATCTGAAACTTCTCCCTCATTTCTCAAGTTTCAAGTCAAATATAGTCTGTTCTACAACAAACGTTACAGTTAGTAAATAGGGAAATGAATACAGTATAACATGGAAGTTTTTCTGGGAGCCAGAATGTTGGGAGTAGAAAAACTCCTCAGCAACTTCAGCTCAACATTTAGAGAAGAAAAAATGAGTGGCTTCCTCTGGGGCACCTCTAATTTATCTAATCATTCTCCTACTGAAGGGCATCTCTATTGGACTCAATTTTTCACTTTTAAGGATCTCCTCGATAATCCTTACACAGTGATTTTTGTGAATCTGTGCTTTGTGAAATATGTCTACAGGATACGTTCCTAGAAGTGGACTTGCAACTAAGAATCAGCAAGCTCTAGAACCAAGTCTGAGGTCTGGCCACTGACTTTATGCAACACTTGCTTTATGGTGCTATGTTAGAGAGACAGGGTTTCTCAGTTGGGAACTGCCTGTTACATCGGTAAGGCTTGGAAAATAGTTCCCATCCTAAAGTGAGATTCAAAGAGACTTCAGGTCAGCCTCAAGTATGTAAAGCATCCATGAACAACAGGAGTGGGAAAGAGAAAGTGAATAAAGACAGGCAGAGTATTGAGAGGGGTCCCCCACGAGCACAGCGTAAAAATGCCCTGGAGAATACTATCTTCATACCCACAAACACACTCACTGTCTTTACCATCTGTACATCTGAACAACACAGGACATTCTGAAATCCCTTCTAATGATAAAGCTGGTGTCTTAACTATTTTTCCAACTTCTTATTGGCTTGTCTCTTAGACAACAGTTGCGTAACGCTTTATAATTGCACAGCACTGCAGAATTTAACATCCTTTCCCAACCCACACTTAAGCCTTTGAACCACCCTTGAGATTGCGAGACACATCCTTGATTCCATTTTATACCTAGAACAGGCGCAGAGCGGGTAACCTTGCCAAGCCCACCCTGCTAAGCAGCAGCAGAGCCAGCACTCCAACACAGCTCTCGCCAACCTGTTCAATTCTTGGTGAGGGACTGATTGGTTTCCTCCAACCTGTCTCCCAAGTTCCAAAGCACATCCTTCCCACTCCAGGTAATTCAGGTTGAAACATTAAGCTGGAAAATGTAAATACAAACACAAGAGTTGCTGGCACAGCAACTGAGCTGCCATCTCCCTCCCTGCTCTTTCGCTTTAATTTCCACTATTCTTTAGGTGGGTAATGGCTATTCACTGAACAGTGACTTAAAATATCGGGGAAAAGAAGGCACATGAAGATCACGTTGGTCTTCAGTTATTCCACTCAGATGAAGCTTAAAAGAGGTGGCAGTATCTGTGCATGTATTCCCATGAGTCCTACTCAGAGTGTGGCTCATGACAAGATAGTGTGGAAACAGAAAATGAAGCATTCAGAAATTTTTATATTTGATACCCATTTTGTGTCTTTTATAGTATAAGTTAAACTTTTATTTTGTATCTTTTTAAATTTTTCTGATAATTCATTTTTTATATATTTTACCAAAGTATCAGTTTGCAATGGGTGCAAGTTTTTTTTAAAGTCTGTCCTTTGGTGAACAAAGTGTGAGCTTTTCAAAATCACCTGAGACTCCTCATGTGAGTAGAGCTGTACAGAAGAACTCAGTAAAATTAGCTAAAAACTTTTGTGGGCCACTGTAATCATGAGCACTAGAGTTTTAAAATAATGGCAGATTCATACCAACTATTGCCATTTCCATGGATAGGAAGATGCAGTACCTTGATCAGAAGGGGGAAAATGTAAGCAAAAACATGAAGGTGTTTTGGTATTTTATGGCTGACAAGCTCCACTTTTCTTTTAAAAGAAAAAAGCTGGAGAAATACAAAGGACTTTTAAAAGTAACTTCAGTCATGTTATAAATTATTAAAAGGGTATCTTTTAAAAATTGAAAGCCTTACTCATAAAGAAACCACTACCTATATATTATTTACAGTGATATCAAAAGGCCCATACGCCTAAATCTCTTAAGGGATGTTTCTCAGGCGTTTTATGTTTGGGGCACTATTTCTAAGAAAGCAAACACAGTATTTGCAAAATGTAATCCATTAATCCATTAGTATTTTCTCTTTGAAAAAGCAGAGAGCTGATAGCATGACAGGACAAGACTTGAAAGAAGCAATCCAGGGCCACTGGGTGAAGGCTGGAGAATCCCAGAGGCAGGGCGAGGCAGGAGCATGCACTGTCAAGGGAGTGAGGGCAGGACGTCCAAGTGGGAGAACAGACCAAAAAGGGATCGGAAGGAAGCCCCAAAGATACTCTCTGCCATCTTCAGCTGGTGCTGAGGAAGTTCTCAAAGCGCCTGTTCAGGTTAGACCCATGCACGCATAAGACCCCTGGAGGAGGTGCTTTAGAAGACAAGAGCTCCGATTCGTAGCTTTGGTAGGGAAGGGAGGGCAGGCTCCTTTGGTTGGCATGTACCTTGTTACATTTCTGTGAAAGGGTCTGTCTAGTGAATTCCTATATGAAAGCTAGGCCATAAGAGTGTTTAAATATTCTTAAACAATCTTTCTTTTAACAAATCGTGGACTGAGGCTGGTCAATAAAAGACACAATTCATTTAGGCTGTTAAGAGTTTAGAAAGTATCTGGAATTTTTAACCATATGTTTTATTTGGTATCAACATCAAAGGAATATTTTAAAAAGCAAATTCAAACCTGTAAGTTAGTGACATTTCACGTTAACTGCATAAAAAAGTATTATTTTACATTTCCCCATACTGTATACTCTATAACTATACATACATTTCTGCAAAGCACTTGTCACTTATAAAGTGAAGATTACAAAATGCTAGGTAAACATCTGGTAATTAGTATTTTTTTAAAAACAATACTCCTTTGGAAGATTTCTCTTCCTTTTGCTTATTTTTGATCTGCAAACACCTCAAGTCAAAGTTTCTGGAAACTTCTGGAAGAAAATCACAGTAGACAAGGGCTAAGTGCAGACATGAGCAGCTCCATTTTATAGACAAAGTTCCGACCTTCCATTTTATTCCACTGAACTTCTTTGAATGGTCCACGAAGGTGATTCCATTTGCTATCTTGTAGAACATCACTTTTTGGAAGGTCTTTACACTGGTTACGTGGAAACTGAACCATAATTTTGCTGCCACTTTCAGGGCCGTTGCGCACTGTGGAGCATAACCAAAATGTCAATACACTATCTTTCCAAAATAGAAAACAACAGGGTAGATCACACAACTTCATTCTACCACGATTACAAAACCCTTGTGTGTTACCAGCTTAAAAGTTCTGTTTAAACATGCTTTTCCGTTTCAATATGCTAAAAAGTAATTTACTAATTTATATATAGTAGGCTTGCATAAGTATTCACAAATTACCATCTGTACTATAAAAATGCGGCAAGATGAATTTTGGATTAGGAAAGTCAAATGTCCTATATATTTTCAAAAAATCACCAACTGATTCTTTCTAAAACTTTATTTAATAATCCACTCATTCAATGAGTAGATTAGTATATACTAACTATACAATGAAACGCAAATGTTGAGAATCAGGATAGGGGGATGAAAGAAAGATGATTCTGAATGAAGAGCTTGAGGTTTTAGTGGGGCTTTAAGTATTCCTCAGGGAAGAGTAGTGTGCTGTGAAACTCCTATTAATGAAGGTCTAGGGATACCACGCCTGCAGATATGCAAGCTGTGGGAGAACATTCCTAATTACCCCCTCTTTCAAATATGCAGAGCAGGTGTTAGAAAAAAGATCACTTTAAAACCATAAGCACCCCAAATATAATTTCAACTACATAATATGTGTAAGTGCCTACTAAAGTGCCTGATGCACAGCAGGTGCTTAATGAAACACCTCTTCCTCTCTTATCCGTCCCTTTACCATCTTTAGGGTCAGATATCATTCTTCCCCAATCTGCAGCAGGACATTTTTAAAAAGCTCTTATCCGTGAAAGGTTTCTAGCTGCAGGAGTAACAATGGTGATGGCAGTCTTCAGATGCTCTCCCAGGAAAATGCGTTGTGAGCAAACAATTTTTATAACTACTAGAAAGAGAAGTCATAGCCTGTTGCTCTGAATTAACAACTGTGATCAGATAAATGTTCAGCACCACTACTATATGAACTCACTCACTGCAGAGATAAATCACTCTTAGTACATGTAACTATTAAAGCTAATTTAAGGCCAAACTGCCAAAGGTCTCTTCTCATTCAAAGAAGTAAAAGTACCTGAAATAGCGTAGTCACCGCTTGGGGAGGCCACTGTGATAGCGGAGGCATTGCCAATGCTCTCTATGGGCCCAAGCCCCACGTGATTACTGAAACTCAGAACTTGCCAGCCCATGACCTTGGCTAGCTGCTGAACCGCATGCACCTGATGCTGTGACATCTGTGAATGAAAAAGGCAACTTCATTGACAATCGGCATGGACATTTACTTTGCAGTGACCTGACGTTATGATTATAAACTTTGGGTGGGGTTCTCACTGCCTAGCACAGGAACCCTATGTCATCTATGAGGAATCCTCCTCTGCGTGACTGCTGGGGGAGGGAAGAGGACCCCACCTTCCACTGCAGAAGCTAAAATAGCCTGACACTCGCTTTTCCTGTCTACTGGCAGCTTGAGTACAGGCACATGACCAACTAGAGACTCCCATCTAGATCACTAAGTGTGGAGAAACATTCCATGTAGCAAGGCATGCTGAGTATCTTCCATTTACCCTTCAAGTCCACTCTCCACTCTACTCTGCCCTGAGAGCCCGACCTGCATGGTTACATGAACAGCTTTCTATGTCCCCTGGTTTCTATGTCCCCTGGTTGGGCTCAGATAATGGGAGCCACCTAGGTAATGAGAGCTGGCAGGATGGCAAGGAAGAGAGTACAGTAGGGTATTTATTTTCCTGGTACCTTCTCTGTGAGGTTGTCTAGGTTTGCTGTATCCAGTGACAAAAGGCTGTTGGTCTTCTCAAGGTGGTCTGTTCTACAAGGCTGTCCCCTTTGGGGTTCCTATCGCCTGTCCCTCCTCTATCCCTTTGGCCCTGCTGGCCTGGTTACATGATTTCTACTAGTAGCAGGCTACCATACCTTCCCTGGTGACTCTCCTGTACTCCCACTTCTGTAAATAGATTCTTAGTAAACAGACCCTCCTAAGTGTGCCACATGTTTCCTGCTAAGACCCTGACTGAGACACAGGGGCAATCTGAGTGCATTCTATGCCAGTGGGGAAGGCAGCAGTGTCAGGGTGGCAACAGTGGGTTAATACTTCTCTGCTATCATGTGGTCCTGGAGTGGTTGTAAGCCTTAGCAAACATGAGAAATAAAAAGTTCGACAGTTTTAGGGCTGATCCTTTATCTTAAACACAGACTAAGTGGAAACAAATCTTGGACATTTATCAACACTTTCAACTAAACAAGAGGCTGTAAGACATGCACTAGAAATAAGATGGCAGAAACAATGCTTTTCTTTTTATAATTTACTATACCTCAGTTCTTACCCACTCTGTCCTTTAAATGGTTATGAGGAAAGGGCTGAAGACTTGCAGTCTGCAACTCTCACCTGAGACAGAAGGAAATCCTGTAGCTCCTGCTCCTGGTGAGACAGAGTAATCACTCTTCCATCTCTGTGTACCACGCGGATCTGTTCAACTCCAATATTCAACTGCAGCTGAATGGACCTTGATAGACACACATACTACAAATCAGAAAGGTTCCGAATTACCTTATAAATGCCACAAACATTAACCCTCAACATCAAAGAAAAACAAACTAACAGACACTTTTGATAACCTACACCAGCACCCTACGTTCAACTAAACCATCCGAGTCAAGCCAGGATTCCACAGGCCATACTGAGCACAATCCAGGAAGGAGGATACGGGAGAGGAACCATGCCTGCCAGCTGGCCAACGTCAGCTGCTNATAGGGTGGGGGGCTTCCCTACGTTCAACTAAACCATCCGAGTCAAGCCAGGATTCCACAGGCCATACTGAGCACAATCCAGGAAGGAGGATACGGGAGAGGAACCATGCCTGCCAGCTGGCCAACGTCAGCTGCTCCTCTTCTGTGGCAGTCCTTGTAGCAGGACATGCAGCTCTCAACGCAGCAGCAGCAGCACACCTGGCTGAACGAGGTGAGGTCCACACAGTATGCGCAGCACCTGCCCTGACTCAGAAACTCATACCCAACATGAGCCACTCTCTCTCGTAACAACTCCACAGGCATGGTTTCCAGGGTCCTCACAACAGACACTGCCCAGTTTCAGAAGTCACCTCATCCTTGGAAACCCAAAGGCATTCCCGCCAGGTGATAGTAATTCCTCCCCGTCCAGATCCATTTTATTAATGTGAAATCGTTTTGGCCATAAGCAGTGTTGCCTAGTAACACAGATGGCACCTTTCCTTATCAGGTTACTAGGGGACTAGAAATACAGAGAATTAACCAAAGGTCAAATTCCCAAACAGAAACGGAAGAGGTTTAGTTAACTCTTCACCCTCTCCTGAAATAATCAGCAAACAAGTCAGATTATGGACACTATTAACTTGGCTTAGGTCAAACAAAGAAACTCAAAAATAGCCAATGAATAACATGCAGATCATGATACTTTTCTAAACCAATGTACAATTTTCTAGCATATGATATGTACAAGAAACCCAAAATTCCCCAAGTCAAATAATCTAGATGAACAAATACAGAAAAAGTAGCACTATATATTTCCACATTTGTTAGTACCTGTTTTCTAACTTTATTTTACAGTAAATATTTAGGAATAAAGCATTTTGGCAATTGTCTACATAAAATTATTTTTATTAATTAAAGTTTACTGTGTTTCTTCCAAAGAAAAACACAAAATTCAGAAAGCTTAAAAGACTTATAAATGTAATTAAAGTTTTTAATTTCTTTTTTTTAAAAACAAGGGTGTGAGGGAGGAGCAATTCTTATCACTATTTGTAGCAGCATACTCAAGACAACCACTTTGAAAAGCAATTTGGTAACATCAATCAAAATGTTAAATGCCTCATCTTTTTACCCAGCAATTATACTTGTAGGAATTTAGCTATAGATATACTTGCACAGTTACAAATTATTTTGCTGGCATCCAACTAAAATGTTTTCAATAGAAGGCTGATTAAAAGTCTCCGTACACACAATGGAACACAAGAAAGCTATAGAAAAGAGTGAAGTTAAAAAAAAAGCAGCAGATCTGTATGTGCTGATAACTAAGATCAATGTTTCTCTCTCACATCAGTGTTTCTTTCTCTCTCCCTTCTGCTCTAAAATCAATTTAAAAACATATAAAAATAACATTATAAATATATTATACTCCCCTAGGCCTGAGGGGGTGGTTGTTTTGAGGTGTGCTTTGCCCACTGGAGAAATCACTGTGGTGAGTTAAGTCTAATGAAGTTTGATGATTTTCTCCTTAATGCTGAGGCTCTTTTCTTACCACAGCCCAAATATGTGACATTTACCTAACAGAGACTATTTCAGACATTCTTACCTCTCACTCTTACAAACACTCTATGGTTGATGATCTACTGGAATGTTATGCCACCCTAACAAATAAAACCCCAAATCTTGATATAATCACTCAGCAAACATCAATAGATAAAAGGCAACTTAACATATTAAATGAATAACTTAGACACTTACTTGCATATCTGTTCATAACCTTGTGATGTGATTAACACTTTCACACTAGATTCATAAACATCATTAATATTTGACCAGTGGGCCTGTATCTGAGGGTCCTCAATGCGACTTGCTAAGCTGTCGATGGTTGCAGCAGTTCTTTTAAAGAAAAGTAGAAAGTTTGTAAAAGCCACCGTAAAAGATAGTAAGATTATAAATCACTTATCAATTTACGGAGATTTGAAAACCAGATGACAACTTTTTAAAAATACCACCGTTCAAAAAGCAAAGACCCTAAAGGCAGGCGAGCTGCTGTTGTGGGGCCCTCCTTCACAGTGCCCTTTAGTGCCTATTCTCAGCCCCGTCACCACCACCTCTCAGCAAAGGCTCATTTCCTTCAGCAACGTTTCCCTTCTCCCACCCAAGAAATCATATTAGAACACAACAAGGAGGGTACTTCCAGGGTACTAACCTCAGCTCTAAAAAGAATAAAATCATTCATAAATACCAATACTTGATTTTTGGTAATAAATGACTTGGGACAAACCCACACTGAAATGGAAAAAAATTATTTTCAACAGAAGCTAGAAAGACATTTTGCACAGCTGAAACCTTAGCTCCAGGAAAGATAAACTAAGAAACAATGAGAGCTAAGACTCACCGAGTGCTAATTATGTGCCAAATACTGTACAAGTATTTTCACGGTTATGTAACTTAATTCACTAACAACTCTGCGAAGTTGGCACTATTATTAGCTCCATTTTTCAGGAGAGAAAAAAGCAGTGAGCTGTGATTCAGGGTACAAAACCAAGACTACCAGAGCCGGCAGTCTCCCTTTATATCTCATACACACTAATCAATGCCACTGCCTAGAACCGAAGCATAAATCATGTAAGTTAAACAAACTACTTGGAGGGCCTCAGGCAGGGTATAAAATTTTATGATCCCAGATTTGTTTTAAAAAAAGATATACAAGCCCTGACACATATACAGGGTGGAGCAAAAGCAGGTTCACAGTTGTGAGTACATGAAACATGGAGTTTATTCTTGTATTATTATTTATTCATTATTGTATTATTTTACATATGAACAACTGTAAACCTACTTTTGCTCCACTTGTGGATCAAAACATATGACCATGTTAATAGAGCTTGCTGTGTATGGTATTACACAGATGTGGTTGATATACTGGAAGATTATTTCTGTACTTAGGGAAAAAAGGGAACATTTTAAAAGCTTTGCTGCTTCCAAGACTATAACTACGACTATGAAATGTATAATGGTTCTAAAGATAGCTATTTCTATGCCTTTTATTTATTTCAGGGAACATTTAACTTTATGGTCAATCAGAAATTTGCAAGATTAACAATATAATCAAATTAACAGCTTTTATAATTGAAATGTACAAATGAAAAGTAACAGTAACCTACCATATAATTTTATTATTTGTAAAGAACTTCTTTATATGTTATTATTATTATTATATATTTTTTATTCATTTTAGGGAGAGGAAGGGAGAGAGATATAGAAACTTTAATGATGAGAAAGTGATTAATCCTCTGCCTCCTGCATTTCCCCTACTGGGGATCGAGCCCACAACTAGGGCATGTGTGCCGACTGGGAATCGAATTGTGACCTCCTGGTTCATAGGATCACGTTCAACCACTGAGCCATGCCGGCCGAGCTGTATACCTTATTTAACTGGATCCTAAGACCAGACTCCTATACCCCCAGAGAAATAGATAGTAATTAACTTGCCCAAAGTTACTTAGCAAGTGGCTGAACCCTGGCTTAGACTCATCTTTTACCCTAAACTCCTTGCTCCTTTCACTGTATCATGTTGTCTTCTCTGACATGTCTTCCTATTTTACTAAAAGTGGAAGGACCTAAGTTTCCATTCTAAGACTACAAACTAACATGCTAATAAAATCATGATTGTATTAACAGAAAAAAACCTGATAATCAAAAAAAATAAACAGTATCATCCATAGAGCAAGAGTGTGCCCACACCTGAAATTCTGAATACTATCAAGGCAATTATGAATGAAGTAAAAAATCAACCTTTTCACTAAGTACTAATAACAAAATAGAAGAGCAGCCTTTAGCATTTGAAAGGGATATATTTAGGTCTAATCATGCCAAGTTCGCTTGTATGGAAGAAAGAAAATGAGCTTTGGACTTACAGAGATCTGGGCATAAGTCTTTACTTTGCTACCTGTTAGCTGTGTAACCTTGAGCAAGTGGTACAAGTTCTCTCTAAGCCTTAACTGTCTCATGAGTAAAAATGGGTTAACTCTATCTACCTCAGAGCACAAAGATTAAGTAAAGTCAACAAAAGAGTGCTTTCCAAAGTCCTAAAATGTCCAACAACCAAAAAACATAGAGAGCTTCAAAAAAAAAGATTTAAAAGGCACATTCCTAGTCAGTCGTCTTTCAAAAATTTAGTGCCATGTTAGAAATAATGTAAGTTACATGGGCCATGGATCTGAGACTCTCTCAAACTTGACCTGCACTGCAGCTACCATCCTCTCCCTGAAAGAAAGATTAAACATGCCCAAAATAACATGTGAGAGCCCGGCCAGGCATGGCTCAGCCGCTGAGCGACGACCTAGGATCCAGGCGATTGGGGTTCGATTCCCAGTCAGGGCACATGCCTGGGTTGCGGGCTCGATCCTCAGTTAGGGGCATGCAGGAGGTGGCTGATCAATGACTCTCTCATCACTGATGTTTCTATCTCTCTGTCTCTCTCCTTTCCTCTCTCTGAAATCAATAAAGATATATTTAAAAACAAATAACATGTGAGATAACTAATAAAAGAAAAGGCAGTGGTTTCAAAACACACACATACACACAAAAGCGGTTCATCCTTACCTACTCCTCAGAAAAATATGCTTTGCTTGTTTAATTATTTTTTCCAGAAGCCCTTCACTGGACTGTAATGAATTAATTTCATTTTTATCAAAAGCTTGAGGACCGGAAAGTCTCATTCTCTTGTGGCCGAAAGGTGCACTTGCTGGATGAGGCATCATGACGGAACTCAAGGTCTGTTTATGAAACTGTAACAAGAACAGTTGTTTTAAACAACCAATACTCACATATTAAATACTACACAGTGCTCAACGGACAGCTCACATTTTGGAAACATTAAAGTAATGGATATGAACCACACAGAAAGGCAGTCTTGCACACAGATGAATGCTAACACCTAGGCCATGAATAATTCAACTCTGTAAAGAAAAGGGTCCCTCTAAAGCTGTCGTTTTTATTTTAGAAGTTTGAAAGTAATATTCTCCAGCAAGTATCATGACAGAACACATGCAATCAGTAGTAGTTACTACAGCATAGATTAGAGGTTCCCAAACCTGGCTACCTGCAGACCTTGGAAAGAAGACTGATTCTTGTACCATCACAAACAACTGAACCAGACTTGGGGATGAGGCAGGGGAGGCTGGAATATACACTTCTATTAAAAGTTTCTTCAGGGTTCTTTTGAAATTAGGCTACACTAGGAACCAGCACTCTAGAAACACAGTTCTAGATGACTTCTAAGTACAATATGTCCCTAGATAACAGGACTACCCTGTTCACAGGCCCTGGCAAGACATTTTCCCTGACCACCCAATCAGAATCACTCTTCCCTCTGCACCCTTTAGCATGCATTCCTTATACCTCTCTATGAAACATGTGGCATCTTTCTACCACTAGAAGCTAAGCTAAGGAACAGAGACTATATTCTGATCATCTCTGAGTCCCCCTAGCATACAGCAAAGATCTTCTCATTGCAGACAGTGAATGTCACCATTATGTGAATAAAGAGGACTCAGCAGAGGGGAGCTGTGCATATTCACTGCCGCAGACATGCTCACCATACTGAAAATACAAATACTCATTTCATTACCTCTCTCATCAGCAGATGTAAATTATGCTCTAAGACATAAAGGTGGTCCTCCGGGATCTGCTTCTCAGCAGCTAATTTTTGGGATTTCTTATCATTTGAGGAATGGCACAAAGAAATAGATAACTGCAAGTCTATTTAGAAAAAGAAGTAGAACAGACATAAATAATCTAAAATATGAAAAGGCATAACCTGTCTTTATAAAGTATCATCACAACCCATTCTCAAGACACATTCTAAACTCGAAGGAGGCTTCATGATTAGCATTTTTACACCAAAATGACTCTTCCTGAGTGCAATAAACTACCATGTATTTCACAATTCAAATTCTGCTGACCTTGAGCTGTGGCTAAAGACAGGTGAACATAAGCTATATATTAATGGTTTCTTCTTTCCTTTAATTAAAAAAAAACACAACTTAAAAAACACACACAAAAAGGAGTTGGTAGAGATACTCTCCCCTGCTCCCACGAGAACCAGGATGAAAATTTTCATCCCGAAAACCCATTCCCTTGACAAGATCTAAGAAGATACTCCTCAGAATTTATGTAAAAAACAAATGCACAGCTAACCACAAATACCTCCATGGGGAATCTAAATGGTTTTAAAAAATATAGTTAAAATCTAATTTCCACAAACTTAGAAATATCATAGGTACTTAATAAATTAAGCATTTTCCAATTGACATTGCATTTAGACAATAAGACAGGATCCCTGAAAAATCTTCCACAAATGGCATATTAGCATAAACACCTCAAAGCAACTGTTGTTGAAAAAGGGCCTTGCTAGTGCAGATTGTGAGCACGTGCTGTTTAAAATCTGGATTCCCACTATTTCAGACACAGAATCAGCAGTGTAGTTTGTGTTGAATGCTTTCCCAGCTGCAGTTTTGGACAGCACACTACCTCTTTGCTCTTACTATTTCTTCATCACACCCAAATAGCTATCCCTTTGTACTGTTCCCCAAAACACAACGTCCTATTTATAAACCTCGAAAGGGCTGGCTGCTCGTACTTGGAAAGGGCTGAGAGATGATCTGGTTTTTCACCACAATGTGAGGGATCTGCGATTTAATTTGAACAGCTTCCCGGGAGAGCTGTGCAAAAATTTCTTTACACAGGAGAACATTTTGTGCTGCTTCTAATTTTGTCTGCCAGTGTGGGGAACCTGAAAGACAGAAGATATATACATATACAAAATTTATATGTGTGTGTGTATATATGTGTGTGTGTGTATTATGCATTAACTAGCTTAAATGGTGATCAGAATACATACAACAGAAGTTCAGAAAACATTTTGTTACAGCATGTTCTTTCAAAAATATAAAAATTACTACTAATTTTACACAAAGAAAACTGGTAAATAAGTTCAATCTTTAAAAAAAGACTGCACAGCCCGGCCGGGCATGGCTCAGGGGTTGAGCATCGACCTGGGATCCAGGCAATCTGGGTTCGATTCCAGGTCAGGGCACATCCCCGGGTTGCAGGCTAGCCGATCAATGACTCTCTCATCATTGATGTTTCTACCTCTCTCTCTCCTTCTCTTTTTCTCTCTCTGGGATCAATAAAGATATATTAAAAAGTAAATAAATAAATAAATAAATAATAAAAAAAGACTGCACAGTTATTCACTAATGGTTAATTAACAAATTATAAATAATACTTTACTAATTGTTCTTACTCAAAAATACCTATTTTTCCTATCTGTATTTATCTTTAGTTTATTCGTATGTATAAACTCCATTAAGACTAACAATCAGAATATAACTATACCTGGTTTGGATTTGGGCAAAGGTCGTTTGAAGAGGTTAACTGTGCCAAGATCACCTATGTCAGGAGCCTGTTTTTGAATGGAAACCTATGTGACAATAAAAACACACATACAGAAATGTTAGCAAATTAGCTTCTGGGCTATTAATAAGAAACTACTTGAAAAATACTCTGACAAATACCTTGATATATGCAGAGCCCTCTAAGTCACTAGGAATTTGAACATCGAGGGGACAGTAATCTTCGGGTATCTTCTTATCTGGATCGATATCTGTATTCTTTATTACTTCAAATGTGCCATGATGGGGAAAGAGAGATCCTAGTAGGGTATTAAAAACAGGAAAATAGAAAGCAGTTAACACATTTTACATACATTATTAAGTATATAGTAATACTTCACATCCACATCATTGAATCATAAATTAAGTTTCCACCAAAACATGTGTTTCAGGGGGAAAGGGGAAGGGATGGTGAGCAAACGGAAGAAAGGAAGCAGGAGAAGAGTTTTATTTACCTTAAAAAAATAATATTCCTTAGCCGAATGCTACCATTATAATATGAACTCCATGAGCCATCTACATTGTTTTATTCCAATAGAGTTTCAGCAAAATGAATGTACTTCTAGAAAATACTTCCTCAGATTCACATCTTAGAGATTAAATGCTTCTGGAGCTCAGCCTCTGTAACTAGGTTGCAACTGAAGTGTTCTGAGTCCAGCAAGAGAAAGACAAAAGGATACTGCATAGGCCAGCCTTTTTTCAATTAGTTCCTGGACTTTTATGTGATGTCTTTTAGTTCAGTGCAAAAGTTTCAGTAAGTTGTTCTGGCTGCTGAGTTATGTGAGGAAGGGGTGGTTAAAAGTAATTGCTGTTTTATGCCCTGGCCAGTGTGGCTCAGTTGGCTGGGCGCCATACCGTGCACTGAAAGGCTGCCATTTCAATTCCTGGGCAGGGCACATGCCTGGATTGTGGGCTGGATCCCCAGTAGGGGGTGTGCGGAAAGTAGCCGATTGATGGTTCGCTTTCACACTGTCTCTCTCTCTCTCTCTCCCTCCTTCTCTAAAAATCAATAAAAAATATTTTAAAAAAGTAATTATAGTTTTATAACAAGGGAAGATGGTCAAGATCTTCTTGTAATTGGAAACAAAGGTAATCAAATCCTTTTATAATCATGGGTGACTGTCCCATAGAGAAAAATCAGGTAAAGTACTTGCACAGAATTATTTGTTGGAAAGAACTTACAATGTCCAGAACCAGAAAGTACAGCTTCTAACAGATAGCCTAATAAAATGTAAAAATGTCTGTTATTTTGAATTGATCTTTGTACTGGGATTTTGCTTTCAGAATTTAAAATCTCCCAATTCATATCAATGCAGAGGCACATAGGTTCTCCAATATTTGACTTAACCACCTCAACCTACCTTCCTTTAATTTTAGAACAATGACAACTTACTCTGACAAATGAATCCTTTTAAAATACTGATCTACTAGGCCTGGCCAAGTAGTTCAATTGGTAGAGTATCATCCTAATAGCTCAAGGTTGTGGGTTTGATCCTGGTCAGGGCACATACAAGAATCAACCAATGAATGC